TATTTCTATAAGCGATAGACAGATAGATAGATATATCTATCTATATATATATATATATATATATGCAGTACAGTACAGAATGTGTGTTTGTACACACACACATATATATAGTATATAGTACAATACATACTACGCATGTGTATATACTATATATATATATATGTGTGTGTGTGTGTATACGTATATATATATATACACACACATACACACACACACACAATAGTATATATACACACATATATATTTAAATATTTAAGTAATTGTCATATGAAAGACAGCCAGTATAATGAGGCTATTAGATGGACTTCATTACGGCAGACCATGTTCCCCACTGGAAAAATAACGAAACTTAAGAAATTCTGCACCTCTACACCTTACATAGCTGTAAACGGACCATTTGATGGAGTTTTTGGAGCCTTGTGTTGCAGCCGGTGGACAGAGGCTGGTAATTCGCTGTGTGGGACGGCGAGGCAGCCGCGGCAGGTTAGCGTCACGTCAGAAAGGTCGGCGCCCTGCTGTAAATCGGCCACAAGGAGGCAGTAAATCTGCCACAAATCCTTCAGCAGGCACATTATTTACAGTACACCTCCCCAACACTTATCTCGGCAAGTAAGGGCAGCGGAAACAGGAAATTCATCTGCTGGCAACGGCTTGGGGGAAAAAAGGCGTCCCGAATCTCCAAAATCAGCAAATCGAAATAATTTGTGATGCAGTTTTTAATTATGTCACACCTGCCTAATGCTCTAGTCTTTCCAGCTTCTGGAAGGCAGAGTGGAAGCAGCCGAGAAGACGGGCCCCAGCTGGCTAACACCTTAGCGGGATGTCGTGTCCAGAGCCCGGCTCATTGTTGCCTCACAAAGTGAGCAGAGATGCTCCCAAAACAAACACGACCTGCGAGTATAAATATTTCCATTTGTTGCCCCACCACGCATCCATTTAAGTGTCAGGTTTACATTTCTCAGTCAGCAGATGGTCCTTGCAGGGCTGCTGAATACCTCCTCAGACGTTTCCTACGTTGCAGCCAAATTCTCCGTTACTCTCCCTGGGTAACAGGAGCATTAGGCACAGGGATTTTTTGTAGTATCTCCATATGTAGTAAATAACTGAGTCAACATCCCTTGAGGCTGGGTGTCCAATTTGGTCTTGGCTTCTCTGCCTCCCAGGACTGCTTCATTCCTGCCTTCCTCTCCTCTCCTCTCCTCTCCCTCTCTTCCTCTCCTTCTGCTTTCTTCTCTCGCTCATCTTATGGCTTGGCTATGAGGGCCCGCTTGGGGATCGCTCGACATGTCTTTGGAGAGATGCTGCCCGTGTGTTTTTCGGAGGGCCTTTTGCCTTTTAAGGTCCAGTATAAGCTCTTTTTAAAGTACCGGATGCTGATTCCCTAGCATCTAAAAAATGCTAGAATGGTAGTCATTTTTTTCCACTCACCCCCCTGCCCCCCACCCCCCACTCCCAACACAGGTTGCACCCTCCCGGGAAACCATGCATCTCCGAGTCTCGGGATGGACCACGCTATGGCAGGAAGGAGAGCGATGTCAACTTTCTGGAGGACGGCCAGATGACCTGGACCACGGATGGAAAGTACCCTGGTCCTGAGGCTCCTCACAAGGGCAGCGTCTCCTCCAAAGCCATGGTGGAGCTCTACATCTCTGACCACCGACCAGAGGAGCCGCCACAGAGGGAGGCTAACGGCAGCCTAGGGTTGGGGGGCGTCCACCTGGGTGCCCTTAGCAGTATCCAGTCCCTGTACATCTACCACTCAGAGCAAGAGTACCGGGGTTGGGGGGGGCAACTCCAGGACTCCACCTCCTGCTCCCTAGGCCAGGCAGGGGTGACCCTGCAGCTCCCTCGGGGGGGCTGGCATAGGGAGGAGGTGGGGGCCAGGAGAGAGGCCAAGGCCAGTGGGTGGGTCGATCCTCCAGAGGAAGGAGGGAACAGAGAGGCGCCTCCTGTCTCGGTCTCCTTTGGAATCTCGGCAGTAGGTGCGGGGCCAGCAGAGCGGTGGGACTCAGAGTCGGAGAGGGACCTCGGACAGCCCAACAAGCACCGGGCGAGGCTCGCCAGTGAGTACCCCCATCCCCCCTCGCTCATGCCTGCACCTGTCTGCTTCTGGTGCTTTTCCAGTCAGTTTATTGCAGTTTCGGTTCTATGGGCAGGAGGGCGACAGTTGCTGGGTCCTCGGTTCCTCAGAGTGTTCTGTGGTCAGCACTTAAAATAGCACCTCCATTTTCTGCCGTGGCCAGAGCGCATAAGTGAAACAAAAACCTTTATTTCCTAATGATGAGGAATTTGTGATGAGGAATTTCGTATCGCGGCTGACATCATGAACTTTGAGTGCGCATTTACCTGGAGTTGAGGCTAAGGCAGAGAATGAGGCCCTTTCACAGTCATTGGCCCTGTTTTTTTTTTTTTTTTAATCCTCTGTATGGGTGTGGGTCTTATCTTGGGGGGGGGTGGCTCTGTGAGGGATGGCTGCCCTCCCTTCAGGACTGAAGTGCCGGCGGGGCGCACTGGTGATGATGCCTGCAGAACCCTGTGTGACAGACACCAACATGTGTGGTTCTGGCCAGTTACCCGATCCCTTAAAAAAACGCACGTCTTGACCGCAGTGAAAAGTGAACTCCCCACTTCTGCAGTCTTCTGGACCCTGAGGTCTGTTTGGGGTGGGGGGTTGGGCTGTATTTTGTTTGTATATTTTATATTAATTATTGATAAAATGTAGACATATTGATTAGCTTCATTGCTGTTTGAGTTGCTGTGTGTGTGTGTGTCTCTGTTTAATTTAGCATGCAGGGAACATGACCTGCTTCTTCTCTTCCTCCAAGGGTTAGGGAATTAGAAGCGAAGGGGACTTACAGATAAGGGCTTGTCTTGGTGCAGTGCTACTAATCTCCGAGCTATTTTTACCCGCATGTCACTTCACAGATTCTGCCTCTTTATTGATTCTCTGTAGATGTGGTTAGAGGCCGAGAACCAGAAGCGGGCACTCTTTTTATATACCTTAGGACTATGATTAGTTAACAAAGCACCGCAAGCTGGAAAATGATTATGCTTTAACGTTTTTTTTCAGTGTGTGTTTAAGTCTGTATGCATTTTTCATGCATAGTACTTGGTCTCCCTGGGGAATCAACATAACACAATGTAATATACTTTTGGCAAATGAATATAATACAATTTCATAGCCTCTTTTATTCATACAGCAAAAGAGTCTCTCTTGTCTGATTCATGCCGGTTCACCATTTGTGGCTTATAAGGGGAAATAACAAATTCTTCAATTCATCCATAGATTAGCATGAAAATAAATCTACAAAATAAAAAATTAATTCACTTAACAAGTAAATTTAACAAAAATACTATTTGTTGGTTGGTTCCTACTCAGTTTTGCGGAAGTGTATGCATGCTATACGAATCGACCTTTCCGGTACTTTTACCTAACCTTAAGCTCTTAGTGGTGTAAAGAAAATGGAATCTGCTTTATATAAAAAAAATGAGAAAAAAAAGAAGTATTTTATATCTGGGGAGAGAAATGCATATTATCACACAATTTCTGAGTCAGCTCCATCTTCGGGAAGCCCTTCAGATTATGTCTGTGTTATAATTGCATACAGTATGAAGATATGATTATTTATATGTTGAGCTGATTTGTCTTCCCTTCCCCCCACCTGTCACCCCCCACCCCAGGATTCAGGCGCAGCGAGAGCCAGCTGGAGAAGCAGGCTAAGGTGGCCAAGTCTAAATGTAAACGGATTGCTCTACTGCTTACTGCTGCACCCAACCCCAAAAGCAAGGGGGCGTTGATGTTTGAGAAGCACAGAGAGAGGGCCAAGAAGTACACACTGGTCAGCTACGGGACTGGGAAGGAGGAGCCTGAGTCTGAGGACGAGGAAGACTACCACAGAATCGAGGTGACCTTCCTAGCTAACGGAGAGCTGCAACTTGACGGGGAGACCTTCGCTAATGCCTCAAGCTGCAAGATCGGCGTAAACTTTGACAAGGATAGCGCACCGCCCGACTTAGACAAGAAGCTGGACCATCAGGTAGGGATGGAATACCTGCCGGAGACGAAGGGCAAAGGGGCCCTGATGTTCGCCAGGCGTAGGCAGAGGGTCGACGAGATCACCGCCGTACACGAGGAGATGAGGCAGAAGGGGATTCCGGTGGAGGGTCTACCAGGGCCAGAAAACATGCCGTCCTGTCAGGCCGCGGAATACTCCTATAAGCAGTCTCCTGACAGCCAGTCCCACGAGGTCAACGTGGAAGTGGCCATGCAGCAGCGCCAGGCTCCACAGTACCCTCCACAGTACCCTCCGCAGTACCCTCCGACTATGAATGGTACGTCTCACTATCAGCCCAGCGACTTGCAAAGGTTCCAAGTTCCTAATAGGACAGCCCAGCCCTTCTCAGGAGTCCCAAACAGAGTGCCTGTCCCCTTTTCACCTTCAGTGGGCATCCCTAGCCCAGTGTTAGATCAACCAGGCTATTCAGACAGCAAACTCAGAGTAATTCCTCCTCCAGTTCCTGTGACCACACGCCCTCAGGTCCTGTCACCCACTGACAGGGAGCAGATAGTTTCACGTGACGAGCGCATCTCAGTGCCGGCTATCAGGACCGGGATGTTGCATGATACGAAAAAGAGAAGTGCAGCCAAGACGGCCTTTGGTTCTAAAGAGTCCTCCACAATGTCTTCTTTGAACCTTCCGAAAGGTGATAAGAGGGCTGGCTTTGACTTGAGCGTAGAAGAAGACTTCCTTAGCCTAGGTGCCGAGGCCTGCAACTTCCTGCAAGCTCCGGTCGTCAAGCATAAGAATCCACCACCGGTCGCCCCAAAGCCTAGCATTAACCTTGCTTCTCCACCTTGGTTAACAGAAAATACCCAGCTACCTTTGGATAGTGGTATTCCAGCACCAGGCATTGCACCTACTGCAAGTCCCACACAACACACCACCACAACTACATGGAATCCCCCTGAGCTCCATCCGCCACTCCAGCAACCTGTGAGTGCCTGGGCTGCACCCAAACCCAAAGTACAACCACCTCCATGTGTTGCTCCCTGGGGTATGTCTCAGCCTCAAGCAACAGCCCAGCCACCTTGGGCTGAGCAACGTACTCCAGTGACTACTGTGCCTCCGACTCAAAACCAGCTCAGGAATTCATGGAATCAGCCTTACATCTCCGCCAAATCTGTCGCTTCTCACCTCTCTGCCAGCACCTATGGCTCGAGGTTTCCCTCAGCTGGCGGTGCCTCCTCAGCTAGGGCTATGAGCCCAGCCTCAGACATGCCCACTATGAGGGGTAGAGGAGCTGAACTCTTTGCCAAAAGACAGTCGCGCATGGAGAAGTTTGTGGTGGACTCGGAGACGGTGCAAGCGAACAAGGCCCGGGCCCAGTCACCCTCCCCTTCACTCCCAAGTGCCTGGAAGTATTCGTCCATTGTTCGAGCACCACCCCCTTCATCGTACAATCCCCTTCTGACTCCCTCATACCCCCCTGCAGCAGTAAAGTCACCCCCACCTTCCAGCGCACCACCTAAACCTAAGAGCACCGAGAAGGGGAAACCAGCACCCAAGAATCTTAATTCCTTGGACGTCATGAAACATCAGCCGTACCAGCTGAATGCCTCCCTCTTCACATATAGTCCGTCTGTTGAAGAAAAAGCTACCCCTTCTGCTACTCAGGTCCCTTCCCCTACAGGCCAAGCATCAAAGCCCACTGCACCGGTGAGTGTTCCTTCCCGTTCTGCCTGCCAGGCACTGAAGCAACCCCAAACCCCCCCAAAACCTCCCCCAAAACCCCACCAGAAAAGTGGAGTGCTTCTTCTATCACCCACCTTGCATGACGGTCCTCACAGCTACACTCCGGCCACTTCGCACCTGCCTGCTTCCGGCATCTCCGCGGTCCTGAGCTTCTCAAAACCCTCTAAACCTCAGCCGGCCTCTGGAACTGCCAAGTTTGGTGCTCCACGACCCAAGTTCTCTGCAAAACAGCCAGCTACGGCGACCAAGTTGTGGAAGCCAGTAGTCATGAGGCAATAGGGCATGTCGGATTGTAGCTAATGCTGTAATCAAAGTGACACGCACTTCAGTGTTTGTAAACCTAATTAAGCTACTAAGAACCTCAAAACCCAACATTCAGAGTCAGCTTTATCCTGGCAAAAGAATGTAATAATAATGATTTTAGTGCAATACAAAAACAACAATTGATTTTTTGTATCTACCCTGTGTATTAGGCATATGCAGCAAGCTTTACAAAAGGATGGAAAAAAATTGCTCTGAGGATACCTAAATATTATTAATTTATTATTGCATAGATTTAAGGCCACCCTTCAGCTGGATAGCTGGGTAGTGTTAATCAAGTATTTTTTCAGCATTACTGCAGAATTCAGCTTAGTCAACATTGCAGCTGTGTAATACTATCAGCTGCGAATGGTTGCAAAATAAAATGATAAAATATAAGGTAACTGATCCTTCGAGCCTGAAATGCAGGGAGTTCATATTTTGTACAGAAAGGGGGAAGATGCAAATGAGAAAAAGGCACAAGTAATTTATTTGTGGTTATTTATTTGTGTCAGCCCAATAACTGTTTGATGGGTTTATCGGTAGTAATTTGTAAGCATTGATCTCCACTGTGATTTTTATGACTTTGCAGCGAGAGTGAGTGTAGGAATGTCTGAGGGGAGTTAGGATTTATAAAGGGAAAGTAAATGTTAATCAGATTAAAAAAACGAAAGAGGTAGGGATATTGTTTATTGAATTTTACTATGGGTGACAATAAATAAGAATGTAATTACAAAAGATGGGATTGCTGTCTATACTACAAATGCTGTTTTTCCTCACACTGCACATTACGTGCAGTGAACTGGAAGCAAGGACATTCTTATTGCTACAGAACAGCATGTATAGAAGCTCACATTATAATTGGTGGCGTTTAGAAGATGCTTGGAGCTGAGACTTAGTGATAGGGATGTAGCTGTGGCTATGTACTGAGGGGAGCGTTAGTGGATGCAGTTATGGACCTCAAAGGGTTGTGTTCCCTTGATGCATAAAAATGTATGAACTTCACTGTACCCCATACAGAGAACAGAAGTGAAATTTCAAGTGCTTCCAACAGTCTTTTGGTATGTTAGTTATGTGAGATATTTTGCATCATTTAGCTCTTAATCAGTACCAATTATTCAAAATATGTCCCTGTTTAAAATCTGTGCTACATGAGACGTAATAGACCCTCTTGTGAATCCACTGACATTTCAACCATATTTAAATCCTCTTCCTCAGAATCAAAATCAAACGTTTCGATCTTTGCAGTCAGTTTTATAGTATGATTTTTTTTTACCATAGACTTATTTGGCAGGCGCTTTTATCGAAAGCAGCACAGGATTGAGAAAGCATGGTCAGACAGTCCCCAAAGCAATAGGGGATTAAGGGCCTTTCTCAGGGACGCGACGATGACATCAGTCTGCTGACTCTGGGGTTTGAACTAGCGACCTTCCGCCAGAGGCACAGCATCCCAACCTGAGGCGTACTCTGCCCCCGTATTTCTGGTCGCGGTCGCCCTCTCTTCTCACTGGATTCCATCGCTGCCACGTCACGTCCACACCAGTCTGTCAGCCTACATACTACTCTGCTAGTGTTCATTCCACAGCGTTTTCACGACACACGCTAAGCCCCGATACCAAAGCACAGCTGCCCCAGGGACAGTAACCCCCCTGCGTACTGAGAAGCTGTAGCAGACTCTTGTCGCCTGTCATTGTCTTGTTTTTTCCTGTTATTTCAAAGTGTCTCTCACCGTTTACCTTTCACCGTGCTTCAAATCTGTGCTATTAAAGACCTCCTTCACTCGTCTCTCTCTTTATTTCCGACTTTCCTGTTTGGCGTGCGATTCACAGTGTGGTGGCCTGCATGACTTCCCAGGCTTTCACATCTCCACCGCCAGTGCACCTTTTCCCTCTGATTGCTTTGAATCTCACGCTAAGCGATGCATTGTTTTCACCCTGACACGGAGCAGTCTGATTGGTTCTTTATCTGTGGCTCACATCCCGGTATGTACTGACTGCACATTTTCTCTTTGTTGTACTGAGTGCCTTTAAAATATAATTAATACAAGATTCAAATAATTTTATTTGCATATTTAAATATCATAAGTTTCAAAGCCCGGCAGGAGTCATATAAAATATATTAGACAGATACATTTATCTTGATCACTTACTGATGAATTACAACATGGCTCTTCAAATCTGGACCTCGATTCCAAATCCAGGCCTTGTTTTCAGTTCTCCCATGGAGTTACTTTAATAATTAGTGATTCTTATTGGCCAGAGGCTTCACACTTGACTGACAGTTAAAGGAAGGCTGGGAAATCAGCAGGGCTCGGACCTCGAGACCGTGATTTCAATAGTCCTGGATTAGAAAATGAACAGTTCCCTGATATTTGTCATTTTTTAACTTACTGAAATATTTTCACCTGCTTGCTGATGTGACATGCTACTGGCCATATCAGTCAGGCCCCAAAATCTGCTTCTGTGCACCGCATAGCAGGCACCGTTAGCATTAACACGCAGTCAAAGTTATATTTTGACCCCTTTAGTTTACTAGGGTAGTGAATAAGCATAGCGATAGGAAGCTAACCAACGTCTATTAATAGCCGAATACTCAACATCTTCAAACCACGCTGTCCTTATTTAAAAGTCTGCCACTGCCTGACAGGATCTGATACGACGAATTTCTGCCAGAGGATCTCGGAGCAAAGACAAATGGAAATTAACCACTTCTCTCCAGCTCCAGTTACATGTTTATTTCGATTAAATCAGTGAGTCAGTGGTGACGAGCTATAATTCTGGATAAACCGTTCCTTCGAAGTTAAGGAGTCATCTTTTTCAGCATTAGCACTCGTCTCCATGCATGTCATTGTTGCGTCATGCAGTCCGAAGCTTATTTTAAAGACGTGATGCTCGAATTTAATATCAGCGGGAGCTCAGTAGAAGCTAGAACCAGTGACTATATTTAGACAGCGTTTAATCTTCAGACGCATAGTGGGATCAGATGAAGATGAGTGCATGTGCGTAATCATATTAAATAATTTATAAAATCAAAGGGACAAAGTTCAAAGTGAAGTTCTTTAAGCAAATAATCTAACTCTAACTGGCTTTAAATAATTTAAATTATATTGTGTTAATAGCACATATGTTTTTTTTTTTGGCTAATAGTGGCACGACTGTATGGAAACCACTAAACAGAAGTGGTCCAAAATAAACCACTTAAGATCTGAAAGTGAGAAGATGGTACACTTCACCGAGAGAGTGGCAGATACAACGTTCCCTGCTGGGCTGGCTGTGGTTTTTAAACAGCAGGCTGAAACATCTAATGTTGCAGTCCTTACACTAGTCCGCCAGATGGTGGCAGCAGACACCCTATTCCAGCTGCCTGCCGCACACATAAAACACTGCAATCTATTGCGGCTTGACATTATGTACATTCAGCACCTTATCCAGCAACATCACGTGACACCGATTCTGGAATCTTTACCTCTCGCTGCTCCGCTAGCATTAATGCGTCCGATCTCCTGTGTTTTGCGAAAGGGATTTTTTTTCCACACAGAAAACGGAGATTAGTCACCCAGTTTGCTTAGCATGCTTCAGATTTAAGGTGTTACCACATTAGAAATCAATATTTTGTTTGTACATTTTTCTGATTCAGGAACCATAATAGGTTATAAACAATACATCCAAAACATAATGAAGCTGCAAACAGCTATGCAAATGTTCTATTTATCAGGAAACTCCAAGGCTTTCATTGTAACTGTGCAATGCAAGGGTAGGATGACCATCTAATCCATGCCAGAAGGGACACTATGAGCTAAGACAGACTTTGCAAACTACCATTTCAACCATTTCAATTAAAAAGGCCTGGATTTCTCTTAAGCACTGGGTTCTTGCTGTGTGCTGATTGGTCAGTCTCCTCTAATCATGTATGTGTCACTGATGTTAATGTGAAACAGTTGGATGAGCCTTTCAATCAAGGAAACAAACCAGTCAAAGCGCAAGAAAAACTGAACAATTTAGCTGAGCACAGGAGCCTTTCAGTTTGTAAAACCTGAAGTGGCTCACAGTGTCCCCACTTACATGGATTATCTGATCACCCTAAGTGAGGGACATTTCTGGAACTTCCAAAAAGTAAATTCATGTAGCCCAAAATGTCAGGGCTGACTAACCACGAAAGTTATGTTTAATGTGATTGTTATGCTAATTCGTCAGTGCTGATGAAAGTAAAATCAAAAGAAATATCCAACACCAACACGTCAATATTCAAACTCACACCTGAGCAGAACTGCAGCTAATTAAGAGTCTGTCACATACAGTATAGGTTTGGACATAATATACACATTACAACTTGGGGTTATTTTACACAAACCATCCAATATAGTAAAGATCACCAAACACAAAATGTAAATGAAGTAAAAAAAAAATAAAAAATAGACGAAGGCGAAAATGCTTTTAATTTGAATTTTAATACAGTACACATAAGCTAACAAACATCATAGCCTAGCCTAGCCTACTTAAGCATGCTTAGAACATGGACATTTGCCTACGGTTGGGCAACATCATTAACGCAAAGCATGTTTTATAATAAAATGTTGAATATTTCATGTAATTTATTGAATAATGTACTGAAGGTGAAACACATTTGGCCATCGTAAAGTCGAAATATCGTAACATGGATCACTGTAACCTGGGGAGCGTCTGCATATGGTTGGGTGAAAACCAGGCGGGGCCGTAGCTGAGCAGTGTAACACGTAGAACAATGTGGAAAATGTTTCTTTTAGGGTTCCTGCAGGACTTACTCTCTCAGCCTCCCCAGAAGGCTGCCATCCATGTCCTCCAGGCTGGGCTTTGAATCCAGCTCCTCCACTCCAGTGTTCGAGCCCTCATGGGATCCCCTGGAACGGCAGACCTCGTGGCAGGAGACGACCTCCAGGCCGGCTGGGCCTTGGGAGACCACCAGCAGAAGCTCCCTGAGCCGGTCGTCCGAGCAACGGAGAAGAAGTGAGGGCTTCTACCCAGCACCTCCAGCCTTTGTCGCCCCAGCTAAGAGCCCGCTGTCCCCCTCAGCCTCGTCGGCCCAGTACAGGCCGTCCTTTGGGCAGTATCAGTCCCAGCGGTCTATACCGGAAGACAGCACCAGGTACAGCGGGTCGAGCTCTGGGCTCAGAAAGCCCGTCTATCAGCCGGTCTACAGACCATTAAGCGGCCCGGCCTGGAGACAGTAAGGCAGCACAAAATTAAGAGCAATCAACCCCTCAAATACAATATACAAGATGGAAACCAGAGTCTCAGTCTTCGGAGACACCAGATACATTTTTAGCCGATCATCCCTTCCCTATTCCCTATTTATAGAAACATTGACATTTCACATCAAGGAAGGACGGATACACCGTGATATTTTCTTGCCAGGAATGAAATCAAAATTGATGTTCTGAGGCAAGCATAGGAGAAGTGAGGCGAACGATTTTCCAGCCTACATGCTGTGATAGGCGTAGCGACGGGCTCAGCGTTGTCACGTCGTACAGTGTCACATCACGTGGGCGTGAAGACAGAGGGATGCCACCGAAAATAAGATCAGGTCAAGCTACCTACTCCTTACAGCCACGTGATATAATGAGCATCTTTTCACATCCCGTGCATGTAAAGGTTTATTAGTATTCTGGGTGGCTGTATGTTCTAACGGTAGCCTGATGTGGCGTTTCCTTGGACACCATCTGCATTCTAAAATCCCCAAGAACACCTCTTGGTGATGCACTGCTTGGCTCGTAAGATCAATGCACCCATGTCACATTAGCATTTTTCATTCAGCTGAAGAAAACATCATTTTGTGACCCTTGTATGACAGGAAGTTATACAAATGAACCATTTCACTCCAAGGACAAAGTGTACTGATGCTCGTAAGAGCGCTTGAAAGATGGATTGGGTTGAAGATGAACTCAGGAAGAGACTCGGAGAAAGTTAATAGCAGAAATAGACGCACGAAGAAAGTTTAAAGAGATTAAAAAATAATTTGTGACAAAGCATTTACTATAGTTACACAGGGATAGAGAGGGATAGAGCGACAGTCAGACATGTACAAGAACTGAGCAGAGAGATGAAGGCTAGAGTAGAAAGTGTACAGTACATGTCACCCACCTAAGAGTTGTGTCGACTGCACCACTTCAGGATCGTGACTGAAATTCTGAGACTGAGTTTGAGGCTTACAGAAAAAAAATACATAATTTCTGATGGGGCAGATGATGGGTAACACTTTACATTAAGTGCCCCTTCATAATGCATTCATAGAACATTCAGTGCACCTTCATAATGCATTCAT